TGAGATTGCTCTACAATTACAGCTGGGAGATCATCATAATCATCAGGAGTAGGTTAAGAGTCAATTCTATGCTGTACCAGCACTGCCTCAAAAGTATGTAATCTGTGCATATTTTCCTGAACAAACTGCTGATTGCTGCACTGTCTATTGCGTCCATATTTGACAGTATGCCTTCCATCCAGATTTGAGTTTGTATTCGGATGTTTTCTGTATGCAGAGCATGATTGTTCCAGGCCTCCCCAAAGCACTCTAGGCTTTTTTGAATCTCATGAATAAAAACTATGACGTGAAAGTTGTTGGATGTCATTAGATCCAAAAGTTCTGAATCCTCAAGAGAGTGGACCATGCTGTGAAAGTATTGCAACACATGCAAAAACATTCCAAAAATCCCTCCAAAGATGCTCAGTTCTCTGGTTGTGGACTGATTCCTCTGTACTGAAACTCCAGAGCTCAATGCCCTGCACAAGAATCACGAATAAGGTCACCTGCAAGTTCTCACAACCATAACCTGAACTGCCTTGGTAGTCCCTAAAGGTATAGCTTTAAGAAACTGAAACATTACAGTGGTGGCATGGTTGTCAGTGTTGCAGTGCAGATAAGTGATCAACCAAGAGTGTCCATCTATGGGACCATGAACCTCAAAGCCCCATCTAAAATGGTGAGTAATAATAATGATGAATTTAGGTTGCAAGGCACATGTTCCCATCTATATGCTACATGCTGTTGGGTTATGGTGCATGATGCACCTGTTTAGTGCTGCTCCATCTGCTAGCCGTAGCCGTTGGGTTAATTTGAGCTAACATCTCATGCACCCTATGTCAGGGAACCAGCATGTGTTGCCTTGTTTCAAAAGCAAATCAATTAGGTTAATCAATTATATGAATAGCTGGTCATCATTTTAATATTTATTTAAAGTATTTATCACAAATGATATTCAGTCAAGATAATTCAATTTCTTCCAATAGATCCTCCTAAATGTTACACAGTAGACCTTTAAAGTGGCCCAGACTATTTACCTAATATTGTGTATTCCCAACACTGGTCCTAATTAAGCTATGCACTAGTTTCTTACCTCTGCCAATAAGGATGTATTTGTCTGTCAGCAGAATTACATGTGTTTCATGTGTAACATGGGCCATGGAAGAACCCATTCAATTATAAATATTGATCCGTACATTAATTATTTTCACCTTTGTTGAATTGCAAGGTATGTCAGTTGTGTCAAACAGCGGTGCAAAATGAACAGAATTTGTCGCACATGGGTGAATCCATCGCGGTTCATGTAAATGGTGTGCAGATTTGCATATCATAGAATTTATTTGAGCATTTCTATCAATGTTCAACATTACATCATGTTTTACAAAGCAAAATAAATACAATTAATTTCATGGGCTGAAACCATACATTTTCAGCTAACATTACTCCAGAACAGATCAGTGTTCTGAGACTATCAGACTCCATCATCGGTCCTTATGTGTAATAATATAAAGTATTTCTACCACAACTCTCTTGTGAAAAAAGATCTTGTGTTGCCGTTGTTCGAACATTGTAGGGGATGTGAATGGAAACACATTGAACATGCTAATGCAGATTTGAAAAATCACTAAGATGAAAAGCATTTTTTCCCACTGTATGGAACTTGCACCAAACTATGACTTCTCTGTGCTGTTATATCCCTTTTTGATCCAATAAAGCTACCTTTAAACATTTGCAAAGTGGATGAAAATGGAAATCCAGCAAATGTTGGAATAGATTAAAATCCACTAAAATGGACTGCCTAGATTAGATATTAGGAAAAAAATGAATACATTTAGTAATGCTTGCACAATAGTGCTTTGGTCAAAAGTCTCAAATAGGCCTTTTTTAACAGAAGATATAGATATATATTTTGATATTTTAGAGTAGGAAAAGCACAGGTGGAAATAATAAAATGAATGATGGCTGACCTCCATTTAGCTGTACTTTTCAGGACCCAGAGGGCAGTTTCATAAAGCCAGATTACAAGTTTAACCAGGCTGTCAAAAACCTATAAAGTCACACATATTTACAAATGTGAAATGTTCTTACAAAAGAAATAAAACGTCAAAGGAGACAGACTTAAGCCATAACAATAGCCAACAAAGTGAATATTCAGAGAACATTTTTTGGGAATAAATTGAGCACAACTCAATAAAGTAATCAATTCATCTCAGCTGCAAACAAAATAGCTTATCTGTATTGAAGATATGAAGGTACAGGTGTTTTTTGAAAATGTTCTGACTGTAATACTGCCCTCATTCATCTCAACAACGCTGCTGTTTTCTGAGTTATCATCAGTGAAAACTGAGAATCTTTGAAATAATCATCACAAAAAAAAGAAAAAGAAAAGGGGAGCCCTGCGAGGCGCTGAGGAATATTGAGTGACACCTGCCACAGATATGGATCAAAACCAAAGGGGGGATTCCTACTGGGCGACATCTGAAACCTGAATATAGACCAGGCGCTGCATGAAGACTGACACACTACACAGTGAATTAATATTCAGCAGATGCTTTTGAGGTTTTTAGCCTCTTTCTCAGTGTGTGTATTCAAAAGTATGCAAAATAGCTGTATGGTTATGCTTGTGTGTGCTGGCAGGTTATTGTTTCCATGTGGATATAAATAAAAGATTCAAATGTTGACTTTGTCAGCACAGCCTGTGTTTCTGGTCCTCAAGTCATCTGATATTATCTGCTTTGTTTTAAGCAAACTGACAGAGCGGATGGAAAAAGTCATCACCAATCACAGCTTCACACAACCACATACTGTTGCTTAAATAATACGCCTCATATTTCAATTTCAACCTCAAACAAATTGCAGAGATTGTTTTTGTATTTTCACCGTCATTCTGTAGCACAGAAACCCCTCAGGGACTGAATCAGTACTGACAATATCTGGTTCTGCTGCATCAATCTTGATAACTTTTTTCTAAACCATTCCTTGTGAGACCAACACTATTACAGAAATGCAATGCTACTCTTTTAATCAAGTATTTAGAGTAGTTGCCTAAGTTTGAACCAAACCTTAAAGTTCTAGTGTGTAGCATTTAGTGTCATCTGGTGGTGTATTACAGATTGCAACTCTGTTGCTTCACCCTCCCTTTCCAAGGAGAAACTAGGGTGGCCGCCAAACGTGCGTAAACCGCCCTATCTAGACCCAGTGTCTGGTTTGTCCCTTCTGGGTTACTGTAGAAACATGGTGGTTCAACATGGCGGACTCCGTAGAAAAAGACCTGCTCCCTTTGTAGATAAAAATGACTAATTCTAAGGAAACAAATACACGGTCCTTATTTCCAGGTGATTTTACACTAATGAAAACAAAGTTATGCATATTATATTAAATTTCTGCCAATACAGCCTCCTAAATGTTACACAATGGACCTTTAACAGAAATACACGTATTTGCCTTCTTACAGAGAGTAAGACTGATCCCATTCATGTCTGCATGCTGTAAATATGAAACTATAGCCTGCAGGCAGTTATCTTAGCTTAGCATACAAAAAACAAAAATATACATGTTGTGGTTGTACATGGGTTAAGTGCCAGACTACTTCTTGGCCAGAAGTCTTGCCATCACTGAGGTTGCTAGGCAACCAGTGTAGACCCCAGGAAGCTGGGAGATCAGAAAACACTAATATGAATGTTTTTGTAAGGGTGATTTGTTTTGGAAAGGCACTGACAAATGATGTCTTGCCGACAACTGGCACATCAGATCTGAAAATGCTGACATGTTTGGAAGGTAGTTACAAATGTGTTTTATAATTTAAATTTTGGATGACTTGTTGGGTTTGGCATGGCTGTTATTTCAGGGCTGTTGGTTTTTTACACTAAAGCAAATGACTTGTAGACTAAACAAATAGGGCAGTATTCATTAAGCAGGAAACAGATGGAGGAAGGCATAATGCCAGGACATTTTACAGGTTAGTCTGCATTTTGGCAACTTAAATGGAAGCTGAAGTTGGAGTCAGTTGTAACCTTGTGGTGTTCGCACCCGCTGCTCGCTCAATTTGTTAGAGAAACACGCTTAATTGAGACTCATGAGGTGAGGATATATTTTTCACTATATTGATTGTATTTCACATTTGTGGGGACCTTTCATTTCATAAAACATCCCAAATGCCTTTCCCATCATTAAAATGTTTCCGGCCCTTATTAGGAAAAATACCTAAAATCGATACGGCCAACAGTTAGCAATGTGTTGCTGTGTCTGTTGGAACAGTCCTCCTGTTTTTCTCTGCCTGGCTGTGTGTGGTTGGGAAATCACTGAAGTCTCATTAACAGAGAGTTATTCCATACAGCAGGCAATATATACAGTAATTACTGCATTCTTTATGCTCTATATGTGCTGAATCTTTTAAATGTAATGGTCCCTCATTAATCTCCCTTACTTTATTTAAAATATGCACTCTAAAAACAAATGTCTTGGCTCAAAGAAGAAAATTAACACAACAGTTTCCATCTCTCATTTTGAGTTGTGACAACACAGGATGAAATTCTGTTCAACCAATGAACAATATTAAGTAAGGCGAATTAGCTTTTCCTCTACAATGAAAGGTATTTTTAATTACCACCTACTTAATAATTGCTAGCATAGATAGATAGATAGATAGATAGATAGATAGATAGATAGATAGATAGATAGATAGATAGATAGATAGATAGATAGATAGATAGATAGATAGATACTTTATTTATCCCGAGGGAAATTCAAGACACAAGTCTTTAAGTTGATTACTCATAAAATTAAGTTGTTCCAAATAGTTTCCCCACATTATTTAAAGGGCATTTTAAGTGTCATGTACTTAATAACTATAATAGTGTTTTTTAAGTTGACACACATTTTTAAATTTTGTTTATGTAAGAAATTAATTCATTCGATAACAAAACTGTTTGGCAATTAACTGTTTTTATTATGAACTGCAGTTTAACAGTGTTTGAACTTACAATATTTTAAAAAACAACTTGTAAAACAATAACAACACACATTTAAATTGTCCCATACATGGCTAGCAATCTTCTCAAGGTCCTGCAGTCTTTTTTACACATTATACCTTTACGATCAATTTTACAAAAAACTGCAACAAACAGTAGCAGACTGTCACTATCAATGTACATTTCCGCTCGGGTTCCCGTCAGCAAAGCACAGCACCTTGGGATATCCTTGCCCTCCAGGATTTTGGTTCCCTCAACCATGATGGTTGCTATCATATGGTCAGATTCTGGGGTGGACTGGTCACCGATGGTGGCAGTTTTCATAAGTTGTCTATCAAGGCCTGCCTCAAACACTTCTGTGTCCTTGTAAAAAATAAAAAAAATACATTGATTTATTAATACATTGAAAGTATTTTCCCATGCCATTGCTGTCAACACCTATGTGAACAGACCATTGTTATGATATTACAGATTAGGGTGTGGCCAGAAGTGTAATATACTTAAAACTTTAATGGACAAGGAGCAGGTTTCTGCCCTGTGTATTTACACTGCCCAATGTGGATTTCATTTTCTTTCAAGATGATGATTTACTTACTCTAAATTCCTTGAGAATGGTCCTCTTCCATCTCTCCAAGGCAGTGGGCTATTTAAGAAAAAGGAAAAAGAAAGTAACTAACCAAATATAATCTGAATTGGTAACTGTCAACAAAGATAAGCCTAATAATTTTAATTAAATAATTAAGACGCATGTCTTTTATATGTCTGATTGTCACTCCTGTAGTTCCTGTCCTTGATGAGACTATATCCATCAATTTTGTTGCGCGACGGTAAAGTCTGGCCATTTTCTCTGGAAGTCTTTATTTATCTGTAGACCACACAAACAGAAGAATTCAGTCTTGCAGACAATTAGCTATACTGCATTAATTCATACTAAAACAGATTAGTTGAAGAGGAACAACTCCTTAACATATGTGAACTCTGAGATACAGTGGTTAATAAAGCAGGGGACTGAAATGACCCACTATCATTGACTGCCATTTTGTTCCAAGTAGTCGCTCTCCATAGGGGCAACTTGGAACCAAAGACCAGGCAAAAAGATGGGCCAGTCAAGTACCCTGCTAAAGCATTACATTTTATCCAGTTTAATACATACAAACAGCAATGTAGTTGACAGCTAAACACATAAGAAGTATCATGCTATTCCTCTCCATGGCTCAAATAAAAAGCTCTCTCAAGCTGACCCAATTTGCCAAATAAAACTTTATCATTCTTATCCACTGCTATGCTACACTGAACGGTAGAATGGCTAAACTACGCTGCTAAATATGACTAGCCTTAACTATGTTTATTAGTACAACATACTCCATCAACTGTATTTGCAGATGTAACATAACCTTCAATCACAAGTCCACTGCTGGTCAAATCACAATTGAGAATATGTCAAAATTCTTGCAAGAATTTATTCGCAAATAAAATGATACTCACCTCAAAAATGTCCTTTGTGTATCGGTATTTGCTAACACAGAGTCTCAACTGTCTGAATTTGCTCAGGCATGTGATAGGTGGGTGGGTAGGGGAGGGGACTTGAAATGCTGAACTCAAGGTGGAGAAAAATAAAGTTATCAAGCAAATTTTATTAAGTTAATACAACTTGACTTTTGTTTTGAACCAAGAGACACAGAAATGTTAGTTAAAATTACTCACAATATTAAGTTGACGTAATTACCAACATTATTATATCAACACAACTCATAAAATGCGACTTAAAAGGTCAATCTAAATCAATATATTAGAATATTGAACTTGCAACCATGCATTTCACATAGTAGTGATAATAGGGCAACTGAGTTACTTTTTAGAGTGTGTTTGCTTAATTTTTCTGATCTGTTTTCTATCATGTGGATGTTGAAGAATAAAGAAAATACACAGTATACGAACCACAAACATGTGCCCTCAACCTTGGAGACACATGGTGATATTTCTGGAGATATTTGGCATTACTTATAGCTGGAAAGCTTGCCCCCTGTGTGTCATTACACTGCTACTTATCTCACTATTCTCCTATAGCGTGTGACTAATTTCTGCCTGAGCTGACTTGGAATGTCATCGTCAAAGTCAAACCTCCAGCTTTGGACAATGCGCTGCTCACTGCAGAGACCACAGAAATCCAATCCAAATCCAATTTGGCCTGTGATTGATTACTGTGCCCACTACTTAATTAGGTGGGCAGCTAGGCTAATAACTGATGTAGATACATAGGAGCTATTTCCTTCAGCTTCCATGTAAACACACTCTTGACCTTTGCAGCCTTGCATGGCCATGTGGCATCACTTATCTGTCACTGGCTTTTAAAAGAACACATCTATCCCTAATTCCTCTAATATGCAGATAATCTGCTAATTCATCTTCCAAGCCTGGAATCCTTTTGCAAATGAATATAAAGATTTCACTCTATGTATTGTAATTGTTCATCTGATTTGGGAAGTGACCTTTGCAAGAATACCTTCTTGACTACTTGACAATAATCGAGTAAGGGATTTAAAGAAGATGGAGGAGGCCATTTACTCATATCTGTAAGAAACCCTGTGCTCTTATCAGACAAATGACAGCCTCCTGGATGATAAGACAAGGTGAGCTAGATAAATACACAGCTAATTCAAGTTCAGTGGGAGCATCTGTCGAATGTGACGTAACTTTAAACAAACAGTCAAACTGCCATCTTGACCTGTGATTGTCATGGGTAAACTGATTAAAACGATATTTGCCCTCCCCACCAAACATTGTGCAGACAGCATTTCTAACATCTGCTGAATTGAACTTTGAAAATGCAGCTCTTCCTCTCTGCTTTGGCCTTTTGTCCAGCCATCCGTGATAGTAAGAAAAGTAAAGAACGCAACTTTCTGTGAGAACTCATCTAAAATGTCAAGAGAGCCAATCAAATAAAACAATACTAGTCAGTAAACCATTACCAGCCAGGTGTTTAAATGAATGCACCACTTTTCATACAGGAAGCAGTAAATGTGCTGTAAAAATGTGTGTGTGCTTCCTTGCCTGCTGTACATGGTGTGTACACAGACTTATGACTCAGCTAAGCAGTGTGATGAAGAAATGGGGCGCAGAGAAGAAAACCTCAGAGGGCCTTTAAACAACACTTTATTTGGATCTTTAATCTTTTCAGTGCAGCAGGTCTTTTAACAGTGTCTCAACAGAATTCCATATTATCTGCAGAAGTGTGTCTATTTTAACGTCCTTGTCAATATGATTTTATTCTAGCATGAGTGCATTCATACAGGAATAGCAAAAACATGTCATATAATAAATTGACCTCCTCACTTGTCATCATCAAACAACTTATATAGCTGTAAGTTTTTTTAATTAAGCACATAGAGGAATTTGCAATTTTATGATGATTCAGATGTAAATCATGCAATGCTTAAACGACTGCATGTTCATATTTCTGCTTTTGTACTACACTCCCCCCAGCCAACTTATACAAGCATAGAAACCAGTGCATGTACACTGAATGTTGACTTGACAGTGAAGTTGGAGACATCTTGTGTCCCGCAGGAAAACAAAAATTTTTTTACCACATTTGCATATTCATAGATTCTGTCATTTTTAATGAGGTAGAAGGAGCAGGGTGTAAACTACTGGGGAGGTGGCTCCTCTTAATAAGACATGAGCTCCCCTGAAAACATGATTTGTAAAATTTTGGGGGTCTCTAAATTATTGACAATGTGCTATTTTTGCCATGAATTTCTATCTTTCTGTATCTTCATCATCATAGGTCATGTATTAAATTAGGCTGTTATTGATGTATGTTTCATGCATGAGGGTAATTCATCACTAATTAACTTTATTAATAATATAATAATACTTTATGACATGAAACATGCTATTTTTGCCATCACCATTGAAGCTTGGTGGCGCAATATCATAAATTGAACTCCCTTTAACAAAAAACAACTTTAATCCCACTCAGTCTGTGCACCAAATCTTGCCATTATTAATTTTTGTAGTCAGCATTATGTAAGTCAGAGTCAGCTCCCCCAAAAGCCACAGTATAGTTTGCACACTAAGAAGGAGTTGATTCCTCTTTAAGGATTTTAATGTGGAGATTTTTAAATATCAGACACTCATTATTGTTCCGAGCAGGCTATTTGTATATATGTCTTAATACATGTCTGTAGGGGATCTTTAAAACAGTGGCACAGTCAAGTTGGAATATTGTCACGGTCACAAGTTGCCATTTTTGATTGGTTGCCAAGCCTCAAGTAGTCAGGTCCTATCCAATAAGGGCCGGTTAAAAGGTTAAAAGAAGAGACAAGAGTGGCATGCAATGCATTAGCAAAAACATCTTCTGTAAATACATTAGGTAACTAATGAAAGAAAAAAATAAAAGAAATAAAAGATCAAGTTGCATTCACACTAAAAGAGTCATCCTAGCACTTTCAAGCCATAAAAAAAACATCTGGACTTTCTCTTGTCTCCAAAACACCCACATCAACATCTGACCTCTGTTTTGTAGTCATATGTTTGGAGTGCTGAGTATTCTTCTTGAGTGACAAAACATTTCATGCAGACTGTAGAGCATTCATTTATGCAGACTCTTGACTGATGTCAGCTGGACTGACAGGGGATGAATGCAAAGAAAAGCTGGGGGCATCATACCCAGCAGCACCGAGGTGCCGGCACATCAAAGAGAGAAGCAAAGCTTTTTGATACAGAGGGGAGGATAGCAGGACAAGCTTCAACCCTGACAGTTCACCACAGTGTGCTTTTGTAGATTACTGTTTGGTCTTTCCCAGGCGAACGCGGCACAGAAGGTAAGCAGCCGACAAGCTGACAGAACACACATCAGGGTATCTCTCCACGTTAGCTGAAAGGAACAGCAGAAGTCAAAACAAAAGTTGTGTCAGATGTTTGCAGGGCCTATAACTCCGGGTCAATGCACAGCAGAAAGAAGCACTTACAATGTTAAACTTTGATCAGCTTCTCAGTGGGTTCTCGCTGCTAAAAACTTTATCAAAGTATCATGTAAAATAAAGCCACACAGTATAATATGCAGCACGAAGCGTAAATTCACTTTTACGGCTTAGCTCCCACACTTTTTCTCTCCACAACTAATAAATCCTTCATGTCTGTTATTTAGAGAGGAAAATATAGACCTTTGGTAAAATAATGCTATATATTTTATATATTTTCATGTTGTTCTACGAGTGGATGTGAAAGTGGATTTAACTGTGAATGCTGTCTGGTCGTGTTTTATCCTTGCTGATAAAACAGGAGCTGATGAATGTTTTCAGTGCTCATTACACTGGCATTTATGATGATATCTGGTGGCTGGTTTGTGGAATATTTTCTGCCAATTATGTTTGAAATTTGTTTCTTAACCCACATACATGCCACTAGTAATATATATTTCTACTTGCTTTATACAAAATCATGTTTTTGTTTTTCATTGGTTTGCTATGTTGAATACCTATAAAATACTACAGTACCCATGAGTCTCAGTGGTCTTTGGTGCTGTATAACAAAGGATTCAGCCAGAGATGAAATTAGATTTTTAATTTTTTTTTTGACTGAATGTTCTGTTTTTTTCTCAATAGGAACAATAGTGATGGTTTTATTTTTTCACACTGTACATGTTGCACATCCATGAGCTTTACTTCCCTTTTTTGGTTCTGGACTTTACCTGGGAAGGTATGCAACTTTGCTCTTTATGTTTTTGCCATATATGTAAAGTTGGAGCATGTGTGGTTTGCAATGTGCATTTACTGTCTTTCTGCAGTCTGATTACAAACAGTAATGGTAGTTGCTGAAAAAATTGCAACAAAGAGGAATCCATTCTGCAGCATGAGGTAAAGCAAAGACAGTCATACTCAAGGACTTTGATCAGGCCACTAATGGCTATGCTCGAACTATGCTTTGTAGCAGAGTCATCAACCTGCAGCATGCTATATTTTAATCCAGTGTGCTGGAGTGGTCTGCCATTCAAACTAAAACACAGCGAGTGCTCCCTGTGGATCAGCCTCACCAGCCCGCTCACTGGGCTCAGGAGGGACATTGTGTGTGGCACATCTGCTTGAGGTACTACCCAGAGGTACATTAGATGAGACGTCTCAGCAAGAAAAGGTTTTTGTGCTCATGCACTTTGGTTTAGTGCAATTTTGAGACTTAATTGTTGCTGTTAAAGCTACACCAATAAAAATGTTTATATATCAACAATGGGAAAAATGGCTCTGCATTTACCCTCAGCTCTACGGAGTCTTCCTTTATGTTTTGGTTTCACAGCCCCGCCCTTTGCTGTCTTGGTTCGTTTTCACTAGTCTTATAAATCTAGAATTAGAAGCTAAAGGCAAATATTTAATTCAGAAGTTGGCGTAGACCAAAACAGAGCTAAATGGAAGGTGATTATTTGTCGGGTGTGCAGAAACGAGACTCCAAACAAACGCTAATGTTGCTCTGTGTCTGCTGGACGTGTCAATCGGTAACTGTTTGCTAACATGTTCACCATATCAGCTTATGTCAGTGTGTGTTTACAGCTTGTTGG